GAAAATGCTACTGAAGCAAACAGCAACCGCTAACAGCACAGCAGCAAACAAGACACGAGCGATCCTGAGCTCACGGAGGAGAGGAAAAGGCAAACGGCTGAAGTGAAGTGATCAACATGAACTTGAACCATGGCACAGGGCAAACATGTGGTGTGCCGTATGGAAACTCAGAACAAAACAGAAAGCTTGGAACAAAATGAAATTAAAAATCTGCTTTTATTTAAAATTACTCCACTAAACATCTAACTGAAAATTGTGTTGAAGTTGACGTGACTTTGTGACATGTTGTTCCTTGAAGACTGCCATTTTTCTTAAAAAAAAAAAAGGTATTAAAAACGTTTCAATCTGGTTACCTTCTATCCAGAAAGGCTAGAAAACATTAAATCATGAGCTAAAAAATAACGCCACACCATTAGTCAGCAAGAGATAGCTGTTCAGCCAGCATCCATCATAATATTTTCAAGATGCATAGATACCAAAAGCCTGGAAAGGAAGGACAGCAATCACCCCAAGCATGGATTTAGAACTTTAAACAGGTTTGATAAATTATTTTATTTAAAGGCAGGCTCCATGCATCCTCCCTTTGCCCACTGTTTCTAGATATAACCTATCTGGGAAAGGGTGATCAAATGTCCATCTCCGGAACAGATGAGCCTTCTGTCTCTGTTCTCCTACAAACAAGAATGACCCTCCCATAAGCTACACAGTCCTGGAGTGTATGACAGTGTTCTGTATCCTAGGAGGTCTTCTACTGAACAGCCTCACACTAAAGCATTCCTGAAAAAGTACCTAAGCTGCCAAATCCAGGGCTTAATTGATGAACGATTTTAAGAAAAATTGAAATTCTTCCTGTATAGTTTCTAATAAGTATCTGAATTAAATCAGATCATGAAGAATTAGATCAAGAGGAGTTAAAATTAAGGATCTGGAGCATCTCTCCTATGAGGAAAGGCTGAGAGAACTAGGACTGTTTACCCAGGAGAAGGCTCAGGGAAGACCTCATCAATATATATAAATACCTGAAGGGAAGGTGCACAGAGGACAGAGCCAGGCTCTTCTCAGCGGTGTCCAGTGACAGGACCAGAAGCAATGGGCACACACTGAAATACGTAAGGGAAAACTTTTTACTTTGAGGGTGGTCAAACACAGGAATAGGTTGTCCAGAGAGCTTGTGGAGTTCCCCTCCTCAGAGATATTCAAAAGCCATCTGGACACTGTCCTGGGCAACTAGCTCCAGGTGGCCCTGCTTGAGCAGGGGGTTTGGACCAGATGACCTCCAGAGGTCCCTGCCAACCTCAACCATCCTGTGATTCTGTGATAAACAGATGAATTATCATCACTTACGCAAAACTATATAAAAAGAAAAAAATCAAGAAGTAATGGCAAAACCTGAAAGATTTCCATATTAATTATGGCAAGAAAAGTTCTTTATTGGATAATATTTGTCACTAATACACTTATTTGCCCTGTAATACACCTAAAGGCATAATGAGACTAGAGGGATAGCTCCACTAAGCTCAGCTACCAGGCCTAAAGCTAGCCCAAAATGCTTATATGTAAAACAAGCATGCCCACAACATTACAGTATAAAACCGTATCCATAAATTTTCAACTCCCCCCTCTCACATTCATTAAGTTCACTGGTGAGGTCAGAGAACTAATTTCCATTGGCACACACTATGGCTGTATCAGTGAATGACCAGAGTGGGAGCTGAAACAACCAACACCAGAGCAAAAGGCAGTGAATAGTCTATTTTAGTTCTTGATCTCTGTCCTCTAAGGAATGCTACAATCACAGAAACACCTCCTAGGTTATATAGTTTATTTGCCTGCTGGTAGAATCATAGAATCGTTTAGGTTGGAAAAGACCTCTAAGATCATCGAGTCCAACCATTAACCTAGCACTCCCAAGTCCACCACTAAACCACGTCCCTAAGCACCATGTCTACAAGTCTTTTAAATACCTCCAGGGATGGTGCCTCCACCACTCCCCGGGGCAGCCTGTTCCAATG